CTGCACTGAGCTGCATCCCCGTTCCATTATGTTTTTGCATTGAAACTAGCTCTTGCTACATTGCCCACGCTGGGCTCCAACTTGTGACCGTCCTGCGGCAGCATCCCAGAGAATGGGGATTACTGGCATGCACCACTGTGCCATTAGAAAAAGCTCTTTATCCTCCTATATTGCAGGAAGAGTGCTGAGCTTCCCCATGGTGTAGTCCACAGTTGTGTTAACTGTGTTGCTTTCCCAGGGACCACAGGGCACCTTGTGACCTCTGAGCTTATGATTCGTGTTCCTGTCCTCCATGGCCATCAGTGCTAGGGCCCTTCTTCGACCATGCCTGGGGTACCGTGGGGCACCCAGCGCTGTGGTGCCCAGCAACTGGAGCTCCCCTGGAGGCCCTCTGCCCCCACAGGTGTCACTTCCAGCACCCTGCTTTCCCCACAGTGACCCCTCTCCACCCCTGCACCCTAGATAGATGTGTATTCTGGGGTTTGTGCTGTTGCTCTGTCTCTTGCCTTCTTGTCTCTGGGTTAAAGCTCCCGATACCCACAGCCTAAGGAGGAGAGGTTATTGTGGCTCCAGGCACATCCCTGGTCTGGGCAGGAGGGGCCCTGAGGAGAAGGCAGCCATGAAGCAGAGGGCAAGGGAGGTCCTGGGACCAGGACGTGTGCTCCCATCAGTGCAGTCAGCCCTGACCTCGTGGGGGGTGGACCCACCCAGGGGTGCAGCTTCCGTGCTCTGGTCACTCTGGAGATGCTGATGATCCCCACAGCCTCTAAGGTGAGGTCCCCACCCATGGCCTGCAGAGCTCCGAGCATCACTGCCCCACCCTGGGGAGCATCCTGTCCCACTGTGTTTTGCCCTGTCTGTCCAGCATGATCAGCTGGTGTCACCTGTGGGGAGCTCTGTGGCTCATACATCTGGCTCTCAGTGCACAGGCCCTGCCTGGCCCGAGCCACCTCCTGTCTGCAGCTGAGTCTCAGAGAGCAAGGTCAGCCCCCACACACTGTGCCTGCTGGGCTTCGAGCAGGGTGCTGTCTCCTCCAGGTGCCCTTCAGAGGCCCCCAGGGTCCCTGCTGACGGATTTTACCCCAGCGGCCACAGAGCTGCTCATCGGAAGCTCGAGCATCCCTGGGTACTGGAAACCCAGACCGGAGAGCCGCACCCACTGCAGCACCTGTGCTAATCCTCAGTGTCTGCTGATTCTCTCTTCCTTTTTCTTTCCTTCCTTTCTTTTTTTTTCTTTTTCTCTTTCTTTCTTTCTTTCTTTCTTTCTTTCTTTCTTTCTTTCTTTCTTTCTTTCTTTCTTTCTTTCTTTCGTTCTTTCTTTCTTTCTCTTTCTTCCCTTCTTTCCTTTGTTCCTTCCTTTCCTCCTTATGTCCTTCCTTCCTCCCCACTTCTTTCCTTCCCTTCTGTTCTTTTTTCTTGATGTCCAGGCATTTCGGGCCCTTTGCAGGAATACAGGAGCTTGTGAAACCTCACTATAAATCACGCGTGCTTCTCTTTTATGGTTTCATTCAAACAAGCGTGCCTGCCTGTGGCAGGGTGCACTGGAAGACCCTCGGGTGTCCCCGCCACATGGTTATTTTGGAGGGACGTAGAAGGACGCTTATTGTCCCTTGGGTGACGGTGACCTGTGACCAAGACAGCAGGGTGGGAGGCAGGGGAGAGCTCGGTCTCCTCAGCCAGGCCAGCTTGGCAGCAGCTGTGTTTGCATCTCAAAGGTGACTCCTGGTCCTGTCCAGCGTGCCCCACTGCGTGCAGAGCCCCGAAACTGTGCTCATCCTCCCCTTGTCCTCACTCCGAGGAGGTGTGAAGTGGCTCCTGGTGCCAGCCCTGGCTCTGTCACAGGAGCCCTGGGACTTGCTTGGACCCGGCTGCCCCTGATGATAATGTGGCAGCCTGGACATTTCTTCCCATCCCTCTCCGAGCCAGCCACGTGAATCTGGGACTCAGGCAGAAGTAGCATCAAAGATGGGTCTGAAATGCACAACTCTGGGACCCCAGGCTTAGTGATCACTCACTGTCTTAGTGACTTTCCTCACATGGTAAAGGAGTGGGGGTTTATGTTGGGCCAGTATTGGTTCATGCTCAGCTGGCTTGAAGGCGGGGTCAACACAGCAGAGGGGCCTGGAGGAGGGAAGCTGCTCACCCCATGGCGGAGGGAAGCAGAGAGAGGGGAAGAGCAGGGACAAGAAGGCCCAATTTCCGGGTTATAGCCCAGTGACCTCCTTCTACAGCACGGTCAGCCCTGAACCTACCCATGACAAATCCCCGGAGGAGCACAGTACTGTGGGTTTCATCACCCCCACACACGGGAGGCTCTGGGACCTCCTGGGTGTGCACTGCGCCACCCACTGTAGGCTCCTTGCTATGCGAGGAAGTGACCACACCCACGGCGCAGGGACAGCCTGCCCAGCTTGCCCCCACATAGCCACCAATGGCCACCAGAGCTGGGATCAGGCGTCCTGCTGGCTGCTGACGTGGTCCTGGGGGGGCCCCAGATTGTGGCAGCAGCTGAGGTCCTGCAGGGAGGAGCAGAAGCCCTTGAGATGCCGCAGCTGAGCCCCACCTTCCTCAGCAATGCCCGGGACATGAGAGGGGACGTGGGACCCCTAAGGGACGGTGCCAGGGTACACAGTGGGGGGAGGTGCAGGGGCCTCCCAGCCTTCGGTGCAGCGACTGGGAAGCTGCAGGGTGAGCAGAACCACCCAAGTGACACCCAGGATTTGGGGGCAGATTTATTTGTATGGATGGGCACTGATTAGGATCGTTCCCTGAATATCAGGCTATGGGCTCTGGTGGTCTGGGGTTTATATGAAATAAGCAAGCAGGAAGTGTAGTGGCGGAATGACTTGTCAACTGGGGATCGGTTTCTACAGTGTGTATCACAGTGACAGCTGTTTCTAAGGGACAGGAGCAACTGGAACCAGAACAGGAACTGTTGCCTGGGCAGCCAACAAGCTGAGTACCTTGATGGGGGGCATCTTCTGCTACAAAGCGGATGGCATTTGGGTGACATTTCCTTCTTAGCACATCATGGAAAATGTTTGTCCTCCATCCTGAGCACAGGATCTCTTCGTGGGTGCAGTGGAGCAGGCATCACGCTGGCACCTGACACCCCAATGTCGAGGTGCTCTGAGGAGAGGGACGGCATGAGTCCACACAGCCAAGCCCAGGTTTTGAAGGGACCAGAACTGCGGGGTGTCTCCTCTGCCTGCACTGCAGGGAGCCCCATGCCCTGAGCTTGCAGGCGGGGAACCCCTGTTGCTGTGGTGCACAGGAGGGACGGGTGATGGGAGACCGCATCCAGGGAGAGGCAGCCACTGCCCAGCTCGCCCCAGCATCACCCACGGCAGCCACCGAGAGCCCGACCCAGCTGTCCCCAGCACCTGTGTCCCACCTAGTACGCCCCCAGAACCCGACCCTAGTGGTGAGCCCCGAGGCTTCACCTCCATCTCCTGCCCAGTCCCACCTCGGCCGACTCCTGGGCGTCACCACCAACCCTCCCTGCCTGGCTGAGACCTGGAAATGTTCAGGCCTCTCATGGCCACTAGGTCCCTGCTGCTTGGGGTCCTTCCCCAGATATGGAGCCTCCTTGGATGGCAGCACCATTCTGCCTAGCGTGGGCAGCTGCGGGGAGCTGCGACTGAGCTCAACTTGAGTTTGGAATTTCCTGCCTGTCTTGGTGCTACTCACTCCATTCCACACAGGCTTGTCATTGACCTATGGCCCTGGGCCTGAAGCTCCCCACAAATACCACACAGCCTGTGGCACTCCTTGTCACTAAGTGTAATAGGTTCTAGTGAGAAGTGACCTCAGTAAGGGGAAGTGACCCTTCCTACAGGGCAGTGGGTGGTTATGGAGGTCACTGGGCTTTGCAGGGTGAATAGGAGTCCTATGCAAGACATGGAAAGGTGAATCCACAGAGTGTATTTGGGGAAATACAAGAACCCTTCACTTTTGGAGGGGGAATGAGGAACATGAAGCTAAGCAGAGCAGCAGCAGTTTTTCAGGGCTGCAGCTCAATGAGGCAGGGCCCCACCACAGCCAGGCTTGCACCTATTTGCCATGCACCTTGATCAGGGTTTCTGCCTTCCTGGGGTGGGTTTTTCCACTATGGTCAGCTCCTCTCCAGTCTGAAGCCATGGGAACAATCCCTGGGAAGCAGAGCATGGTGTGCACACCTGTCATCCTAGCACTCCAGGAGACTGAAGCAGGAGGATCTCAAGGTTGAGCCCATCCTGGGGAACCTAGCAAGGCTCTGTCTCAGAAGTTTAAAAAGGTCTGGGGATGTCACTCAGTGCAAAGGCTCTGGGTTCAATCTCATGAATGAACAAATGAACGAAAGAATGAATAATAATAAACCCAAGGAGGCTGTATGTGCGGGAGGGGCTGGGACAGAAGCTGCTGCTCCCCGGTGACTTGAGCCCAGGCTCAGGGACTGGAGGGTGAGACCTACATGGCCACCACCAGAGCCCAGAGCCTTTTACAGACCTTGGCTCCGGCTCCGGGAGACCCCGGTCCACAGGGAGGTCTGGGGAGCACGCAGCCATGGCATGGCTGCCTTTTCTGCGTGATGTCTCATGCTCGGTAACACGGTTCTCAATTTTTTTTGTTTTTTTTCAGCGCTGGGGACTAAACCCAGGGTCTTCACTGTGCACAACACCCCCAGCCCCTTCCATTTTTATTTTTAGACAGGCCTTTTTTTTCCTTTTTAAAAAATTTTTTTGGAGATATGGTCTTGCTATGCAGTTCAAGCTGGCCTTGAGCTCACTGTGGTCTCAAACCCACAACAATCCTCCTGCCTCAGTCTCCAGAGTGCTGGGATTACAGGCATGCGCTACCATGCCTGGCTGAGAGAGGGTTTTGCTAGATCGCCTAGGCTAAAACCAGACTTGCAGTTACCCTGCCTTAGCCTCCAGAGTGCTTGCTGCCTGACTGCATGACCTCCCTCCGTGTTACAGGGGACGTACGCACACTATGCTGTAGGAAACCAACACAACGGCCAGGAGTCTGTCTTCATTTACTTGTGGCACTAAAAGAATCGATAGACAGCTGTGACTAAGAGCGATTGGTGGCAGCTTCTCCCTGCCCAGGACGTCCAGCAGCGAAGATCTGGGGTGCCAGGTCCCTGTCTGGCCGATCTCCAGGCCGGAAACCACGGCTGAGTCTTTAAGTGACTTCATGGTGTTTGCCTTTTGCTCTAGGGTAAGATTTTATGTCGAAAGGTCCTTTAGATCCCTGCATTGCTTGGTTTTGCTGCAGGGAACGAGCGTTCTGGAGACATGGGTGGGTCAGCCTGGCTGTGGTCCTGGGGCCGGGCACTGTGCTCAGAGAGTGCACTGGATGGTGCTGGAGTGGCTGCTGGACCGGGCAGCAGTGTCCCAACAGTGGCTACAAAGCACACATTGGCCTCACAGTCAGGCGGTGCCCAGGAGGCTCTGGGAGGGTGCCGGGGCTCCATACACGGGTTCCGGCTGGTGACCCGCTGTACTCACAGCCCGCGGGGGGCCCAGTCCACGTGGGGTCTGGCCAGCTCTCAGCGTCCTCGTCACCCCGAACACCCTGTCCCCCAGGCTCTTATGCTTGGTTGGACGGATCGCACGGTCTGAGGACGTCTGGGAGGGATTGGCCTCCAGCCCTGGAGGAGAAAGAACCGGGTAGTTTAATAAGCCAGCGAGGATCATGGAGCAGAGGGGAGAAGTTGCCCCTCTTCTTGCGCCCAAAGCGCAGGCAGCAGGAGCTGTGACAGGGGTTCTCTCTGTTGATTTGTGTGGGTTTTGCCCCTGGAATTACAATGTTAAACAAGGAGCTGCTTTTCGCCATCTCTGTGTGGTCAGGTCAGGGGGCCTGGTCAGCTGGAGACCAGGGTCCTTGCACGGTGCCCAGTCCTGACTGGGACCAGGGTTGGCTCCCACAGTGTCACCTGCCCCCTGCCAGTACACACTGTTCATTGGCAATGTTGCGTATTTATTTCCTTGGCACGCGGTGGCTGGGGAAGGCCACACTCCTCGCCGCGGGGCCCGATGCACAGCTTCGGCCTGCAGACGAGTCCCCCCCATCTTGTTCCTCGCCACGTGGGGTCCTGGGGTGGAAGGCAGGGGGTCTTCAGGGTGGGCTTCTGCCACATCTGGCCTCGGGGTGGTTCACACAAGCAAGGGCACCTACAACCGAGACAGACACAGTTACTCAGGGTGGGGGGGGTGTGCCCACCCTGTGGTACAGCGGATGCTAGGGAAGACTCCCATGTGCCTGCCCCAGAGTAGGAGGAAGGTGTGGGTGTGGACACAGGACCCCATAGCCCTCCTGGCCGCCTGCCATCCCATCCCTTTAGCCTCATGTCTGTGAAGGTGAGGGGCTCTGGGGTGCTGGGCTGATCGGTGGAGTCATCACTGGTGGGGCAGGGCTCAGGATGCTGTAGGAGCCGGGGCCTGGCTGGAGGTCACTGGACTGTGACTGGGAAGGTGTGTCCTCTCTGCTCCTGGCCACCGTGGGGTGGCCAGCTTCCCTCTGCAGGCTCTTCCACCCCGGGCATTTCTGTCTTACACTCAGGCAGCTACGAACCAAACCCTCTGACACCTTGAGAAGGCAGGAACATCATTCAGCATCCAGATGTGACTGCCACTGTGGACCCAGCTGGTGACCCTTCCCACACTGACGGGACCCCTTGCAGAAAGCCTTATGTGGCTCTTCTGAAACCAGCACAGAAATTCACCACAGAATGCATGGAGGTCAAGGAGCACGGAAATCGTCTGTCCACACTGTTTGCCAATGGACTCCTGGCTTCCGAAAGCCTGAAGGTCGGTATCTAGTTGGGGAGAGAGGGCCGCCCTTACGCAGGCTGGAGGGGCAGAGGGAGGGACATGGACAGTGGGACAGGTGGAGGGCGAGGTGGCTGTAGAGGTAAGATACGTGGCAGGTAGGCAGGATTTAAAAGTCACAGCCAGCAGCGGGGATCCATGCCAGCCATCCTCACCCTAAGTGAGGTTGAGGCAAGAGGATCTCAGGTTCCAATTCAGCCTGGCCAAGTCAGTAAGACCCTGTCTCAAAAGAAAAGATAAGGGAGGGCTGGGGATGTAGCTCAGTGGTACAGCACCCCTCGGTTTGATCTCTAGCACCTCAAAAAGAAAGCCCTACAGTTACTGCTTTAACCAGATGAAAAGTACACATGAAATATAATCAGATGCCTGCTGCATGTGAACACGAGTTCAAATCCTCCTCCTCCTCCTCCTTTGCTCATAACCCTGATCAAGCTTGTGGAAGTTCCTTCCTGCCTTACAGACCACTCTTCTTTTAAAATCAGAAGGGGACGCAGGGTATCGCCGGATGCCTTTACTGTGGCTGCTGAGAAGATGGTGTGAGGTTTTATTCTTTAGTTTCTTCATCGTGAGGAGCACCTCCATTTAGAGGCTACTGTGACCCTTTAATTCAGTTTTCTTTCCTGTAGTATCTTTGTCTGATTTTGGAGCCAGGGATGTTGGTTTCAAAGTAATGTGTGTGTGTGTGGGGGGAGGTCTCGGTACTCATCAAGTTTTAGAATGAATGTTGGTTCCATGTTTGTGGAACTCACTGAGGAAGTTACCTGGGCCTAGAAGGGAGTGGGAGGTGGGGAGAGGAGAAGAAAGAAGAAGAGAAGAGAGGAGGGCGAGAGACTGGGGATCTGCCAGGGCTTTCACAGTGAGCCATGCCCTCAGCCCTTTGATTGGGACAGGGTCTTGCTCATTTGCTGAGTTTCCAGGCTGGGATCCTCCTGCCTCAGCTTCCCACAGTGCTGGGGTCACAAGTGGATACCACTACTTCCAGCTGTGCGTTTCTTCTTGAGCGGGTTTTGCAGTTTGTGGTTTTCGGTCTGCGTGCGCTTTGTGGTCTGAGGTAACTTGTCCGTGGGACCTGCGGTCAGGTTCATTTGCCTCTTCCGCGTGCAGCTGTAGGTCTGCTTCCCCCATCCTATTGCTTAAGTTTTTAAAATCCAGAAGTCATTTCCAAGCATGGAAGTTCCACGCATCCCGTACCTGTTCCTTCTCCCCTTGGAGACGAACTCTTCCTGAGTTTCCGCTGCAGCTTCCACATTCTGCTTTTTGGATATGAGCGCAACAGCACAAGAATCCTGAAAAGGGTCTGAATTGCAGAGAAACGGATGGCGATTTTGCTCTGCCTTCTCAATTTGCAGTTGCAGCTCTTCAGGATTAAATGAAAGTTTATGTTTCCAAGTGAAAAGCATAAAATAAAGTAACGGGTTCACTGGCAAAGCTGCCCACGCGCGCCCTTTTATTTATTTAGTATCTGGAGACTCCCCCGGAGCGGCCGGGTGCGGTCATTCCTCCTTCCTCAACGCCTGGCTGTCTTCTCCCGTCTCTCTGCTATACTTGGCCCCAGGAGTATGGATTTTGTGGCTTTTGTTATAAGGAGAAGCTTGTTGGTTTAACTGATTGTGCTTTACCGTCCTCCTCTCTTTTATTTCCCCGTGCTCTGTGCTGACCTGTAGGAGTTCTGAGTCTCTGCTTCCTCTGGGTCTCTAAGTTTGCTCCTCACTGTCAGTCCCTGGGGGTGGGAGGGGCTCTGTCTTTCCTGGGAGCCACACAGCGTCACAAAGTCCCCACCATGAACGGGTTTTATGTCCTGCTTCCCTCCCCTCCCAAGCCCTTCCACTTCCCCCAATTCCGTTCACCCATGGGTTATTCAGCATGGGTCGTTTCTGTGTGTGGCTTTTCCTGAAGTCAGCATGCTGCGCGTTTCCAGTCACACCATGTCCTAACCGCAGGACACCTGTGTTCCCTGCTACTGTAGACACAGGTCCAGAGCTGTTCAACCTCCTCAGCGGCCTGACCAGCCTCAGCCCTGAGACCCTCTAAAGCGGTTCCAATCCAGATCCAGCCCCTCTGGCCTCGGGGCACCCTGACCCCTTTCCTGCCTGAGTTTTCAGCTGGATGCCAGACATCTCCATTGTCCCTGGTATGGTTTAATAGCTCCATGTGGCTGCTGCATAGGAGCCTGTTCCCTGTCTTCTGTTGCAGAGAATCTAAGGCAGTGAAGAGCTGAACCAGCGCACTGCAAAGAACCTTGTCTCACCCTCTTTGTCCATCCTGTCCGTCCACTGCACCCTCTTCTACCGCCCAAGTGGAATTCCATCTTCTATGAACTTGGGGTGCATTGTAGACCCAAGTGCAGACTTTTGACCTCAAACCCTGTTTGACTGTGAAGCCCTTGCCTGAAGCAAGGGGCTCACTGAGGGTAGCCCTAGGGGACAGGTGACAGGGAAGCAGGGCAGCAACCACTGGTTTGGGCCGGACCAAGGGTCAGCCTCTCCCCCCTGGGGCTGGGCTGGATCCGACCACAAGGTGCCCACTGCCCTGCCAGTAGTACGCTGGTGGGACCTGGATAGGAAAGGTTCTCAGTGAGGGCAGCAAATTCTTTGAAGGGGGAAGTAGGATTCCCAAAACTTGCTTACAAGAAAAAGAAACTGGGGGCTGGGGATTTAGCTCAGTGGCAAAAGCGCCTGCCTTGCAAGAAGGCAGTCGTGAGTTCGAGCCCTGGTACCGATAAAAAAAAAGGAAAAAGACAAAAAAGAAAAGGAAAAAAAAAAAAAAAGAAAAGAAAAAGAAACTGCAAAGCAGGGTGGGAAACATCTGGCCCAGCAAGAATCCTCTTCAACCCAGCTGCTTCCCTTCTGGTGTCTTCCCGAAAGAGTTACAGACGCTGTGTTACGGGATCAAACACACTATGCTCAGAGCCTCACAACTCACAAGGGAGTACTACTGTGCCACCACGCAGGATAAGCTGGAGTCCTGTAGAGGACGGACGCCCTTCGACACCGTGGTGCTAAGGGAAACAAGTAAGACACGGGAGCTGCAGTGTCCCCTGGCTTCCCTGATATGAGAAATGCAAACTATTCATGAAAGGCTGCATGAAAGATAACAGCAAGGTGGGAGCCAGTTCTGCAGATGGGATGGCGTGAGGGATGGCGGGGGAGGGGAGGCCAGAGGAACGAGGGTATGTGACACTCACGCACCGACTCCCACCGCGTGCTGCAAACCTGCACGTTAAAGAGAAAAGCTAAACACCGACTCTCAGGGGTTCTGTCCTCCCTGGGCTCACAGAAGCGGCACACGCAGCTCCCAGAGGTGAGCACGGCCTGGGGATGGGTCTCCCTGTCCAACAGAAGGTGGAGAAGGGTGTCCTGTGCGGGGGAGGCCGTGCTCTGCACCGGATTATGGAGGTAAAATGTCTACAGGGACCAGAATGGCTGATGCACGTAGGAGAGTGGGTGACAGAAGGAGCAGATGCAAGCAGTCAGCCTGGCCTGGCCGTTCTGAGTGCCACAGCTGCCTCTGCGGGGGCTGGGACCCTGCTGCTGCCCTGGCTGCGACCCTGGCCAGCACCGCCAGGCAGGCAGCTTGAGGACCTGCTGCTGGGGGCAGCCCCCAGGACTAGGCCACAGGCTTCCTGGAGACCTCTGGCTCCGGCTCCTAAAGGGGCCTCTTTGTATTTTGCTTGGAGAGAAAGAAAAGCGGAAGGCGCCCAGTGCCGCCGTTAAGACGCCAGCAGAGGAGCTGGCGAGATCTCGGAGGTTTTTTCTTGCTTCCTGGCCCAGGGAGAAATGAGTGTGGTGACGGGGAAAGGGGCCGGGCGAGGAGAGACAGCTGCTGGGCAGTGCGAGCCCCAGTAGCCCCTCAGGCCCCTGGGGGACTTCACATGTGGCCGGGCCCACAGCTCTCAGCCCTGGGGACACACAGGACTCATTTTCAGAGGAAGCAGGAATCCGGAGCAGTTTGTAAGGATCAGGGAACAGATGATCTAAGAGCAGTGGGGCAGCCAGAGGCCCTGGGACACACAGGGAGTTCCTGCACCCTCTGTCTCTCCCGTGAGGCGTTCTCAGTGCCTGGACTGTGCCAGGACTCCTGCAAGAGCCACCTGCTGGGTGGGCAAGAAAGGAGTGGCGGGCAGGCAGCGTGCGTCACACCGGTCCTCGGAGAACTCGGAGCTCTAGTTTGCAGCCCGGGTGAAGGAAGGAACGGCATGGCATCTCACGGGACTGGGCCAGCCCACAGACCCCAGGAGGCTTCCGGAGGACTTGGGGTTCACTAGGATGTGGGGGACCGGGATGTGGCAGAGCAGTGTGGGAGGCACATCTGTGGGGCCCTGCAGTGGCACTGCATTTGGTGGCCCTGAGACCAGCTAGCTGGTTCTGTGGGCAGACAAGAGAAGTGGGTCTGGAGAGCTGCTACCGGAAAAAGGATCCTGCACAAAAGTCAGCCACGAGCCGCCCACTCTGGGAGGCTGGGGCAGGAGGATCAGAAGTTTCAGTCCAGTCTGCATGACTCAGCAACTTAGGGAGACTGAGTCTCTAAATAAATAAATAAACAAATAAAAGAGCCAGGGTGGTAGGACTACAACCGATCAATTAATTTAAGACTGAAGAAAGTCAGCAGAGAATGACTGCCCCTACCGCTGGACACCACCCCCAGCCAAAGCCAAGGCTGCACAGGGCAACTGGTGTGATGTGGCCGGACACCCAGGTGTCTGTCACTGCGGCCTCTCCTGGAGTTCCATGTTCCCGAGGCCCGGGGAGGGGGCAGGTTCGCTGGAGGCCTCTTGCCTGCCTCAGGCTGTCCTCCTTCCTCAGAGCCCAGAGTCAAGGCCAGTGCCATCACCTATCTGCACACGAGCGCTGCTGCACAGGAAATTGGCAGCTGTGGGTGGGGGCTTGGCTAGAACTGACAGGATGCCCGGCATGGGCTGGCAGCACCCTACAGAGGTGCCCGGCGGGGCATTGGGACATCTGTCCTCACCATGGTGCCCGCCCTGCTCCTTGGAGGCTGAGACAGAGCATGCGGGGAGGTTTCCATGTTTTTCTTTTTTATTTTAAGGTGTTGCTGAGACGCTGAGTTGTGAAGACTAGGCTGGAACTTGCAGTTCTCCTTCCTCAGCCTCCCAGCATGCCGGGTTGATGGGTGGGAACCACCTGGCCCAGCGCACGGTCTGAATTTTAGGACCCTTTCCCGCCATTCTGTTCAGTTTCTTCCTTCTGCATCTACGCAGAACTCCACAGGAAAGGGAGACCCTGAAGGCGCCGGGACCCCGGCTGAGGCTCAGTTGTGCTTTTCTGGGGATAGAGCCAGGCTTGTGTCACCCCTGCCTGGGGTGGTACCCCGGGGTGGGGGACCACTGTCCCTGGTCTGGCTCTGGTTCTGCATCGGCTGTCTTGGTGCCTGCCCACAGCTGGAACAAGCTGGGTGAGTGATGTCCCCAGGTCTCCCCGAGGGCCCTGAGGGTCCCTGCTCCTGCCCCGTTGTGGGGCCTCTGAGTCCACACAGCCCTGAGTGACACCCTGCCCAGCCTGTGCCTGCACCTTGTCCTCCTCTGCCGCCTCAGGCTTGGGGCAGCATCTCTCCTGCCCATGTCCCCCATGTCCTCTCTATGGAGCATGTGGTCTGGACCCAGTGACCAGCACCTCCCTGCTTAGTGCAGTCCCTGGTGACCCCCACCGAAGGACCTGGCCTGAGCTGTAGCCCTGTGGTGCACAGACAGGAAAGGGGGGATGCGCGGGTGCCAACCGTTCCTGGGAGCAGATGCTTGGGAGGTGGCTGGAGTCCCAGGAAGGGGGCACTGGGCTCCCTGTCAGGATGCCCCCCACCCAGTGATGGTGGGGATGGAGGCAGAGTTGTGGCATCACCTAGCAGCTGAGCAGGGATCAGGCCTGAGCCCCACACACCTCATGCCTGGCTGAGGGATGCCTGCTCCACAGAGACAGTGTGATGTGCATGGATGGAGGGGACAGCGAGAGGACGCGTGTGCCCGCCCAGGGACCTTGGAGGGGGGGACAGCAGAGCGCTGTTTTGTGGAAAGAAACAAGATGAGAAGGAGGAAGGTGGGGGATGGAAGATGGAGGCTGCTGGCTGCAGGCTGAGGGCCTTGTGGATGATGGAGCCCCAGGTCCCCATTGCCTGCTTCGGCTCAGGCACGATGTCCCTGTTGCTCACTCACCTTCTTTAGCCTGGCAGCACCGGACCCCGAGCGAATGGCATCCAACAGGGCCTGGCGTGCGTCCACTGTTTCACTGAGGGGCCCTGCGCCAAGTCCTGGTGCCACTGGAGGTGCAGGGGGAGCACAGGGGCCCGGTGGGGGCTGTGGCACTTGGGGAGGCGCTGTATTTCGGCAGCCCTGGAGCTCTGCAGAGGCTGAAGATGACACCTGCCAATGAGACACTCCAGTGACCAGGCGGTGGGGGCTCAGGGCCATAGCATTGCCTCAAAATCCATCTGCTGGGAAGGGTCCCAGGGAGTGAGCAGGTCAGGATGAGGGGACCCTCAGCAAGATCAGTGCCCCTGAGTCTTTCAGGTCCTCTGAGAGAGGACAGGGAAGGCGCCACCTGGACCCAAGCCTTCTGGCCCAGCCTCAGGCTTCCGGCCTCCAGACTGCGAGGGTTTGAGCCTCCATTATAAGCCATGCGTCTGCAGTGCTGTCACAGCTGCTGGGTGGACTGGGTGGCAACAGTGTCTCCAGAGGTAGTTCCTGCAGCACCACCCCACTGGGCATCTTGCCCTGGCCTCCTGCAGCTCCTCCACTGGGGTGCAGGATGTCCTGTCTCTGGGCCACTGCTTCACGAGTCACAGGGCCATGCCATGTTGGGACTCAAGAGTTAACCCCCACCCCCAACCTACTCCCTATCCAGAGTTGTCTGGCTGGGTTTTGGAGACAGTAGATAACCAGCACTGTAGAGTGAGGTGCCAGTCTCCTTGTCTCCCCACGCAGGAAAGCTCAAGAGGACACCATGCTGGCTGAACACCATGTTGCCCTGAGTCCTATGACAATGCCCCAGGGCCGCCTGTCCCCTAGGGCCACCTGTGCCCCTGGGCCGCTGTGCTGGCAGGTGTGGTGCCTGCTCTGGCAGCCTTTGCCATCCTCCCACAGTGACAGAAGCGCCCACAGCACCTGCCCAGCTGCAGGGAGAGGTGGGCAGCCCCTGACCCTGTGCCCCGGGGGCCCCTTACCTTGCGCAGGCTGCGGGTTCCACTGTGTCCCCGGATGGCCGCCATCAGGGCTGAGCGCTCGCTGTCAGCCTCTGTGTAGGACAGCGTCCGGGGCCCTCGCTCCGTGCTGGGCTCTGCTGTCTGAAAGGCAACGGGAGGTTCAGTTCACCACCAAGAGCTCCCTCCCAGGCCCAGCTCGCTCACCCCAGGCCCTGCACTTCACTGTCAGTGCAGCCGCTGGGCCCTGCTTACAACGTGGGGTCTGAGCAGATTTCAACCAGACGGAAGCTGCATCAGGGCTCAGGGAGGATCCAGGCAGTGTGCGAGGCTGGGAGCACAAATGTTTGCTTTCTTCTCTTCTTCCTTGTCTCTTTCCTCCTCCTCTACTTCATCTTCTTTTTCTTTTCCTTCCTTCCTTCTCTTTTGCTCCCTTTTTACCCCCCGGAAGTGCTGGGATGGCATCCAGCACCTTTGCACTGAGTTGCGTCCTCAGTTCTTTTTAAATTTGTTTTTATTTTGAGACAAGGTCACTGGGTTCCCCAGATTGGGCTCAAAGTTTTGATCTTCCTGCCTTGACCTCCTGGAGTGCTGGAATAACAGGTGTGGACCTGCACACCCAGGAAAGCTCCATGGGCTCCCTGGGTCTAAGTGGGCCAGGAGCCAAGGAGCGGTGAACAGCATCAGGCACCTCTATTCAGGGTCAGTGCACCCTGCAACAGTCCCAGTGCCCCATACTGTGCGCGCTGTGGTCCTGTAGGCCCAGGTGAACATCCTGCGTCCCCATGGTGACTGGTGACTTTGGGCCAGGCCACTGGGCCATACCGTGCCTCAGTTTCCACACCCTGGTGACACTGGTTATCAGTGAGCATTCTGCAGTGTTAAACACATGGACAGGGCTTGTCCCCCTCACTGAGAATCACAGGGACCTTTGCAGAGTCACGAGCCGCAGGACTGGGTTCCCATCAGGGGCCACATGAGGACTGAGTCCCCTGAGACTGGAGCGGGGCTGAGCAATTCCTGTCACCTGGGGACCCTGTCATTCTCCCGAAACCCCATGGCCAGGTGGTCCCCACAGTCGGGTGACCCTGGGGTAAACAGATCCTGGCTGTGGGGAGCAGAGGTTCTACACAGACAGAGCCCTCAGCGCAAGGCTCTTGGAAGCCTCTGGGTGGACAGGTTTGTGTCCAGCATGCTGTGCTCACTCCGGGGTGCAGGACGGACTCCTGGTCACCATGGAAACTCCATCTCCTGACCTCCACCTTCTAGGGTGGGTGCAGGCTCACTTGTTCTGCACCGGGAGGAGCAGGCGGGAATGTGACCCCGTCCTGCAGCCTTCCATAGCCCCGTGGGGAGCCTGGCCCCTTCCCCTTGACACTTCTGGTGTGCAGTGTGCTGCCCTTTATCTCAAGGTCTCCGAGGCCCAGTGCTGAAAGCTTGGCCCTTGGCTTGGTGTCATGGGGTGCCATGTCTTCTGGAGGTCAGAAGTCATGGCAGGGATCTTGAAGGACAGTGAGGATCTGGTTGCCCCTCTTTTTGCTGCCTGGCCATGGCATGGAGGGTGGCTTGGCCATGAGCCTCATCCTCAGCCCGGGGAACGGCTTGAAACCAACCTATGCACGTGCCCGAGGAACCCTCTCTCCTCCTCAGCCAGCTCGGGCATTGGTCACAGCACAGAAAGCAGAGGCCACAGGTCCACATGCACCACATGGCCTTCTCAGCCCCTGCCCGCAGGGATGCTGATTCTTCAACGGGCCATTTACTTCTCTCCCACGGGCAGCTGAAGCTCACCCGCCTTGCGCCTGGTGGAAGGCGCAGGATAGAAGCTGGGCACACAGGATGCCTGGCAAGGACCCCAGCCCTGTGCTCCTGTGTCCGCCTCATCTTGAGCTCCTGCCCGGTCCGCTCGTTCTCCTGCCCTCCCCAGCCTGCCCACTTGCCATGCTTACCTTGCGGAGCCCGTCCTTCCCGCCAGCTGCCTGGATGGCCTCCATCAGCACACTGTGCAGGCATGTGTCCTTCGGGACCGGCCTCTGGACCACGGGCTTGAACTTCTTCTTTGGCCCAAAAATGCTGGCTGGGAAAGAGCTGTCCCCGTCACCCCGAGCTTCAGGGAACGGGCGAGGCCTCTCCCCCGTCTCCAGGGTGCTGTGGCTGTGGGTACTGGACACCTGTGGGCAGAGTGGGGGCTCTGGGTCCCATGCAGAGCCATTGGTGAGCACATCTGCCGGGTGTGTGGGGATGGGGCGAACCCTGTCCAAGGTATGCACAGAGTTGGGGGCCAGGCTGGCCTTGGGGTCACTGGGCTTCTTCTGAGGGCCACAGCTCCATCTTGCAGACATGGGCTCCCTCAAGGGAAGGTGGCTTGCCGAGGAGCAGGACACTCCTTGGACAGCAATGGGGCTGTCCTTGTCTGTGGCTGCTGCTGTCCTCTGTGGGCTGTCGGCCACCCTGCCAGGCTGGGTGTTGCTGGTGTCTCCGGGCCTGGGCTGCCGTGTGTCAAGGCCCTGTGGCTCTGTGTCCAGGCCACGAGCTGAGGCACCTTGGGTGGGGAGAGGCTGTCCAGGTGACACTGGACGCCTGGCCGAGGGTCCCTTCTCCATGACACTGTGCGGCCTAGCAGTGTCACTTGGGGCCGGCGTGGACCCCATGCGCCTCGCGATGGCCGATGCCACGTGCTGGCTGGATGTCCTCCTGTGAGGCCTCAGGAATGGGAGCTCCCCCATGGGCACAGCTGGCACCTTCTCCTGACCTGCGACTGCCAAGGGTGGCCGGCTCCTTGTGTCTTCCTGTGGCCTCTCGCCGGCATGGGGGACAGTCGGTTGCTTGAGGGTGGCCGGCACAGGGGCTGTTGTGACCGTGCTGTCCTGCGGTGGCTTCGAGGGTGCTAGGGTGGGGATGGGGGCAGCCATGGTGACACTGCTGGTGGTGGCCGCCGGGGTAACCCTAGCTGCAGGGCACCCCGCAGGCTGGCTGGGGGGCTTCTCTGAGGACCCGCGCCTCCAGAACTCCTTCACTTTCCCCAGGGGCCGAGCCTCTGTGTCCACCCCTGGTGTCAAGGGTGGGAACTCGGTCCTGCCACTGGCCCCGGCGGGGCTCACCAGGTTTCCCAGCTCGTCGATTTCAATGGCGCCTGTAGACAGGGACGCTCCACGGTCATAGCACCGCATCTCTGACCTGGGAGGGACGATCTTGTAGGTGGTGAGGCCCTGCTTCAGCCCGTAGCTTCCTGCGGCTGGGTGGCCTCGCCGACACCAGGCTGGAGGCCCAGGGATGCTGCTCGGCTGCCTGGCCTCCTGGTCCTCTGTGCCCCATGGGGCCTGAGTCCTCTCTCCGTGAGCAGAGCTGTGCCTGCTGCCTGGTTCCTTCACACTCGGGTTGGCCGGGGGTGACTTCACAGCCAGAGAGGCCCCCTTGGGCACTGGCCCCATGGCCTTCCTGTACAGGTCTCCTTGGCCAGCATCCTGGGGTGGGCTCCACCCGCCTTGGGGCTGGTCCTGCTCAGCCTTGCATGGGGGCAGGCAGGGGCCCCTTCCAGTGATGCCCCCTGAGGTGGAAGATGCTGCGTTGTTGTTCCTGTTGGATGACAGCCCTGAGTCCCCGGGCTCCTCAGAAACCTCCCCAATGAACGTCACCGGGATTGTGTCCACGTCGGCCATGGCACCATCCTGCACACAATGGCCCCACCCACCATCTGTGGAGCTAGCCGCAGAGCTGGAGTCCGTGTCGTAGCTGTCCTCCATCTCTGCAAGGGACAGGCACAAGTCATTGGCCAACAGCACCGTGCCAGGAGTCACTCCCACTCAACCCAACCAGCCCGGCTGCTCCTGAGCCACCTTCCCTGTCCCTGATCCTAGGCTTGCAAACTGCAGCTTCTGTTATGTGTAATCTGCATATCCCGGGCCAGAACCTTGGCTTTCAGCCCGTTTGCAGCCCGGCGAGGTCACAGGCTTGACAGTCTTTACCTTATGTTGGCTGTGTGTCTTTGGGGCATGGCTCTTTTGTTTGAAACATTTCCCACCTGTTTACTGAGATTAACAGCATCTGCTTTGGCCTTACAATGCCATCCCCTCAACATCTAGAGACCTCTGTGGCTTGGGGTGCTCCGCTACAGTGGGGTTACTGTGCATTTCCCTTGGAGATGTGCTGTGCAGTAGCCAGTTAAGACCTGCGTCTCCATAAAGACAGGGCTTTAGATCCAGGCATGGTGGAGCACTTGGGAGGCCGAGGCAGGCAGATGAGCCAGACCTTCTATCAAAAAAATGCAATAAGAAGATCTTGCTTATCTTTATGCCATTCTGTGCTTCTTTAACGCATTTGGGCACGCTAGAGCATTCTGTATGAAATTCTTTTTTTTTTTTTTTTGGTCTTTTTCCTTTTTATTGGTACCGGGGATCAAAGGCGCTTATGCCACCGAGCTAAATCCCCAGCCTTTTTATTATGTATTTTGAGACAGGGTCTCAGTCACTTGCCAAGTTGCCAGGTTGGGCTCAGACTTGATCCTCCCGCCTCAGCCTCCCAGAGTGCTGCGATTAAAAGCCCAAGTCCCCATGCTGGGATTGATACACCTCCTGAGTCCTCTCTCCAGGAGCAGAGCCATGCCTGCTTCCCAGCTCCTTCACACTGAGGTTGGCTGGGACACCTTCTTGGCCAGAGAGACCCCCTTGGGTGTTGTCCCCATGGCCTTCCCGACCAAGTCTCTTTGGCTGGGAGACCAAGCACCCAAAGGGAGAGACAGGCTGGCAGGAGTTGTGCTTTCTGAACTCCACCCCCAGTCTAGCCTCCGAGGCCAGAGATCAAGCTGGAGGCAGTCCTGTGGAGGACACGCCTCTGTGGTTCCACAGAAGTGCGCTCAGAGAGGGACTCGCTCTGCACTGACACCAAATGCAGGCCACGCTCACCGTCCGGGCCTCGCCCTCCAAGAGGCGCTGCCAGGGTCCTGCGTGAGTGTGCGTCTATGAACAGGTCTTCCTCGGCAGAGGTTACGGTGGCTGTCTCACTCCTAGGGAAAACCAAAGGACAGAAAGAGCACTTAGCTGGATTGTCTAGTGAGGGCACACTCAGGTTCAACTCCCGGAATTCCCCGCTTGGCAGGCCCCAGGGCTACCGGGAGCCCAAGTGTGCCAGAGTGTGCAGTGTGCGTGAAGTGTCAGGGTCACTGTGACCTTGGGGGTAGGACTGGAGGCTGCTTGGTGCCAAACCCAGTGAATGAGGGGATGGGGACACCTCATCGTGTTTTAAGTGACGGAAACTGCTGCAAATGTGCGGGATATAGAGGCAGCCACAGAAAGACCCTCCTTGAAGAGGACTCCAGAGGGGACAGGGTGGGCGGGTTCAAAGTGGGGGAGGATTTGGGCTTGGTGCAACGTGCCTTTTGCTGTGACAAACTTCTTTTAAAATCCAAACATTTGGCCCATGTTTTGATCTCAGCCCTACATGATGTGTGAGATGTGTGCATAGATGGGCCTGTGTCCTGTGTGGCAAGAGTGTTGTATATGTGACATGTGGTGTTTGTGGTGTGGGTGCACATGGCCCGAAGTGTCAGCTTCTGTCCAGTCTGCGATATAGCTCAGCTTCCGTCCTGCTGCCCAGCGGGTTTGTTCCTTCTCCAGGTTACGATGCCCTGGCACTTGGTAGCCCCAGAGAGGCACCTGGAGCCTGGGCTGCACACACACACACACACACACACACACACACACACGATGGCCAGGTCACCCCAGCCCCGCAAAGTCAGTGTCCCTTGAGGCCCAAAGGTGGAGGCTGCAGGTACTACTTGGGGCCCCACTGCAGGCCAGAGAACAGGAGCGCAGGCAAGGGGCAGGCTTTTGATCACCCACTGTGTGGTGTGAACAGGAGAGGCGTCCCCTGAGTCCCGAGGGGTGGTGTGGCCTCCCTATAAGCACCTTTAACACATGGGACCCGGGATAATCCCTGCACTGGACAAGCGATGGGGGACTCAGGGCCTCTGGGATCCAATCCTGCTAACTGCAGAGCTGGGTCCCTGACCCATTCCCCTGGGAACATAAAGTCAACCACGGGAGGTGACAGTAACCAGGAGAGATGCCATGGCAGGAAGGACAGCACTCGCCCTGCTCTGTGGAGAGCAGGCCTGCCCTGCCTCCGCGCCCGGCCTAGCAGAACTCTTGTGTGCAGACCACTTACTATACTCCCCCAGCAGCATGTAGGGTGGGCAGTGTGGGTGCTGGTCACTGCAGAGACGGGAACTGACTCAGGGAAACCAACAGACGTGCGCAAGCTCCCATAGCGCCCAGAGCTGCACCCAACTCACCAGCCAGTGGCCTGGTCTGCTTGGTGGCCAGGGCCTCCATGGCATGGGACATTGCAGGAGCCAGTAGCTGTCCTCCAGAGACCTGGTTCTGGCTTTGTGTGCATCCCAGGATGACACTGTCTGTGACACAACTGCCCCCAGCATTTGGGAGAAATCCAGCCTGTGCCTTCCCAAATGCAGGGAGCAGGACACTGCGTCCCCAGTGGTTCTGCCTGTAGGGGGAGCCAAAGCTTCTCTACCACCACTGGTAAACCTGATGACCATGTCCATGGCTGCCCACCAGGCCCAGATGATGACACGGACTGTGTGGGGTCCTCTGAGGTAGCACAGCCTCCACTGGATGGGTTCATCTTTCTCTGCCACTGGGGCCAGGCAGTGACCTTGGGGTCTGTCCTCACTAATGTCCTGTGACAGGCTGGACAAAGGGGCTGGCTGGGGGCTTGTGAGCCCAGACCAATTCACAAGGACCCCAAGGATGCACAATGGCCCTCTGGCCATGCTGCCTGTGGCTCTGAATGTTCGAATGCCTTTTACAGAAGCCTTTTCTTTTTTTGTGGGAATGTGGGAGTATAAATACATTTATATTTAAATATCTAATAAAATTCATGGCACAGGAAACTATAGAAATGGACAGATGAGATAGTACTTGAGATGAAAAACAGAGAACTTCAGGAAATGCTCATCCTTAGTATTGGTTGTGAGAGCCCCGCCACACAGATGGAGGCACAGACTTTTACTTCAGAGTATCTGTCTCCTCTCAGAGCCTGCCAGCCAGTCATGCTGGGAGGTGCTGTTGGGAAGAAGTAGGAACTGGGTCCCCGTTGTCCCTGGAGCCTCCTGAGGTGCGAAGTGAGACTCTTCTGAAGGTGGCTGAGTCCGGAGTGCGCAGTGCTGGGATCAAGGGTGGGCATCTTGAATAAAATGTAATTACGGGACAGAAAGAGGACTGCTTGGTCAGCGCTTGCTGCTCAGTGGGTTGTTTGCTTGCTTGTGCTGCCTCCTGCTGACCCCGCCATGCACTGCTCTGCTCTGCACTGTCCTCTGCCACATTGCCCTGCCCTGGAGCAGCTGACAGTGGACTGAAATGTCCACACGCTGTGAGCTACAGTAAACTTCTCAGCCCTTAGCTCATGGGGTCGGGTATTCCAGCTCAGCAATGGGAAAAGTAACGAGGACAAACTCAACAGATTTAAACTGGACATGGTGCACTCGTGTAATCCCAGCACTTGAGAGGCTGAGGCAGGAGGATTGTTGTTGCGAGTTCGAGACCAGCCTGGGCTACAAAGTGAGCTCAAAGCCAGCCTGAACTGCATAGTGAGACCATATCTCAAAAAGACAAACAAAACAAAACAAAACAAAACAGATTTAAGATGCAAGTTCTGTAAATATTTTGCTAGAGATAAAATAAGATAATAATAAAGTACCCGGAACTGAGGAAGAGGTAGTGAACTGGAGACACTGTTGCTGCTGGCTTTAACTGGAAAGCATCATGGAAACTTTTTATCAACAACAAACAAACATCGCTGCGTCTTTGTTAGCAGCTCTTGTGCCTCAGTCTCTATTCTCACAGCTTTTCCAACAGAAAGAAAAATGTCAGTATGGTAGTGCTCCCTGTGTCTTCATGAAGAAACTCCAGCAGTGGGGACAGATGTCAAAAGCTATGCAAATACGAGTAAAGTGCTCCTGTATCAGTAACTATGATGAGCACCATGTGTACCAAGGAGGAGAGATCGGTGCTTTGCCTAACATGGCACATGAAGGCTTCAGGCCATGTGACTGCAGGTCAGGTAATTAAGACATGAAAACAGCCAGCACTCTGGGAGTCTGAGGCAGGAGGACTGCAAATCTGAGCCCAGCCCGGGCACTTCAGTAACTTAGTAAGACCCCACCTCAAAATAGACAGTACCTTGAGACCAGAAGGTTAAATGAACTGTCAGACATAGGGTTTTAAATATCACATGGCCTTTATATGAGGAACCCAAAGTGTAAAAGAGCAAAATAAGAAAGAAATGACAGGAAAGAATGGGAGAGACCTTTGTAGATGGGGGGTGGGGGGATCTAGGAGAGTAACAGAATGGGAAAGATGGGGGGAAAGCCAGGATGAAGGGTGAGGGGTACACATACAGCTCCCCTCAGTGGGTTTACTCCTTATTCACTGCACATCCATACTAACCAAAAAATTTTAGAAATAATAAAATATGGGTTGGAGATGTAGCACAGTGTAGATGCCCTAGGTTCAGGAAAGGAAAGGAGAGAAGAGGAAAGGAGGGGAGGGGAGGGAAGAGTAGAGGGGAGGAGGGGAGCTGTACCTGTGGACAAACCAGCCAGTGTAAAGTACTGAAAGGGAGAAGGAGGTTTGCTGCTTCCCTGTCTGCTTTAACCACGCTTGCTGCACTGAGCACCTTTGCACAGTGAAGCAATTCAGGGGCTACACTTAACATACTATTTGCGCCCTCTGACCCACATGTATTGCAAAGCATTTCTGCCGCCTGTCACCACCGCGTGGCTCTGTCTCCACACGAGAGCCTCCACCTGGGTGCAGAGGTTGCATCAGGGCACTACTGAGTATGTAGTCTCTAGCTGCCATGCTGGGGAGTCTGGTCCCTGCCCTCCAGGTCAGGGGACACCTCGCCTCATCCTGTGCCCTGTGCCTGTGTCCTTGGCCCTGTCTGCCTGGCCTGGCCCTGGTGGGCTGTCCCTGACGCCGTCACCCAGTTCTGTGTGCCACAGCCTCAGCTCTGGATCCAGATGCGGGAGTCATGCTGTGGGCGTGGGCCCCTGCGGCCCAGAGCTCAGGATGGAGGGGATGGAGACGGAGAAGCCCCCTTGCTGCAGGGTCGCAGCCTGTTACAGTGAGGCAGGGGCAACAGACCCAGAAGGACACTCATGGCCACCCTGGGAGTCGCTGCAGAAATGTAAGTATTCAGTGTCCAGGGCACAGCCTTAAGGCTGGGATTGGGGGCTGCATCTGGGTGCCCTGAGAGCTAAGTCAGGCCCAGGGGGTTCTACCATGGTCAGGATCCTCCTCCTCCTGTCACCGCCTCTCAGTCACTGTCCTCAATGCCATGCTAAGGTCCCGAGTTTGTGGTCCGGCCTTTCTGTCCAGGTGGCCAGGGTGATGGTGGTGCCCTCCTGAGTAGCAGGGGCTCTACCTGATGCTTGCACAGTTCTCAGGTGTGGACACGGACTGGCCCACAGAGCCTGGTGCCTTATGCTGGCTTGTCTGTGCCTTGCAGTCCAAGTCTGCCCCGCCTTCGGTGGACCTCTTTTGCAGCCGCAGGGCATTTTGCAGGTGCGAACAGGAGGCTCCCTCAGAAGGTGCCAGCCTCAGTGGAAGACCTGAGACCTCCTGCACTCACATAAGGGTGTCTGCGCTGCCCTGAGGGTGATGCCTGGCAGGGGTGCCGCAGGCCGACTCTGGAGAGCACACTGCTTGTGGCATTTCCCAGGGCCTCAGCAAACTTGCCAGGCTGAGAGGAGCATATGTGGTGCCTTCCCCAGTGATTCCTGAGCAGCACCAAATTCCTCGGACCTCAGGGTGGCTGCGACCCTCTGGCCCAGTGGGTACTGCTGGAGCTGCCACCCTGGGCCTGTGTGTATCCCTGTCCTGATGCTTGATTTGTTTGCCCACACTGAAAATTTGGGAGGCATCATGGAAAGAGCTAGACGTCTGGTGTCTCCTTTAAAACCAGCCACACAGTGGCATGGGCCTGTAATCCCAGCACTCAGGAAGGCTGAAGCAGGATTGCTAGCTCAGGGAAGCCTGGGCTATTTAATGATTTAGTGAGACCTTACCTCAAAAAAAAAAAAAAGAAAAGAAAAAGAAAAACAAAGCAAAAAGGTTTGCATCAGGCCTGGAATCCCCAGCAAAGGGAGGACTGGGAAGGGGAGGAAGGCAGTTCTCTTTCAGAGAAGGCCCAAGCTCTACTTCCCTTCCAGTGGCCCCTCTCTACCTGCTCAGCCTCAGTTTCCCCATTAGCCAGCCCAGGCCCTCAGGTTTGCAAGACCCTCGGGCCACTGCAGGGCACTAAAGTCACACACTGGAGGATAAACACCCTGCCTGCACAGCTAAGAGCTCTCAGTGTGTCTGACTTTTCCACTGAGATTGCTCCTTAAAATAAACCAACCTAATGGGGGTTTTTTTGTTTGTTTGTTTCGTTTTTGAACCAGCAATCGAACTCAGGACTTCACTCTTGCCAGGCATGCGCCAAGCTGCTGAGCTATAGCCCCATCCTAAACTACCTGAAAATCCCCCCAAAACTAAAGTTTTTCATTTCATGACCTCAGGTCTTGGGTCACTAACTCAGTGCCGCAGACTGGTGAAGGCCACACAGCTCCTGCTGCTGCTGGGACCAAAGGTCCGTCTTCCAGGTTCCGAGACCTCTCCCCTTCCCCCAGGCCTCTGACAAATCGGGATGCTCAGGGATGAGGGCCGAAAGGCAGCCTCACTCCCTGTCTGGATAAAGCTTTGGGGTCCAGAGAGTAAGGGATTGGCTGTAGTTGCAGGCAGCATCACTGCCCTTCGTGGAGGAAAATCCTGAGTCCACACCCAGTGCCAGGGAGGCCAAGGCGAGTCCTGGACCAGTGTCCCTGGGCCGTGATCACAGATGTCTGATTAGCTTTGGAGGAGCCCAGGCTCGGTGACTCATCAAGCAGCCCAGGGTCCTGGCGAAGCAGGGTCTCCTTCCTGGTTGTTGATGGACAAAAGCAAGCAACCATGACCTCATTCCTACCTGCTCTCCTGGCTGCAGGGGACAGTGCTGGGCTCTGCTAAAACCTGGAGGGTGCAGCTATCCTGGGGCCTGATCTCCTCCTGAGCAAGCGCTCCGCTGGGCCCCGCCGCCCTCCAAAGGGGAGAGGCCGCCTGGCACCTGCCCAGGAGTGCAGCATGGTTAGACAAAGGCAAACTAGGACAAAACATGATGCGAGAGACCCTGACACCAGCCAGTGGAGATCTGTGTGCTCCTGTGCACAGGGTCAAGACCTGAAAGGTACAAAAGTAGTCACTAACTGTGTTGCCGAACTCCTGAACTTTAACACAACCATTTTACCTCATCTCTACTGATGTCCTGTAATACTGATTATCTGACTAGTCCCCCCTCCTCCATGACACTAGAGATGGGACCCCAGGGTCTGCCCTGAGCTGAAACTCTAGCTCTTTTTTTTTTTTTTTTGCTAAGTCTGCAAAGTGGCCCAGAATGGGTTTGAAGTTATGGTCTTCCTGCCTCAGCCTCCTGCAGTGCTGTGATCACAGGTGCACACCACCACACCCCACTCTAATGGCTTTTTTTTTTAATCAGTACCGGGGATGGAACTCCAGACCGCATGCCTGTAAGTTGAGCTAAATCCCCATCTCCTCTAATTGCTTGTGAAGTAATTGAAAAACTGACCGGCTAAGGAGAATAAATGCGTCTTTTTACAGAATAATATTAATAATGATAAAAGATTGAGGACAGCAAGGCTGTCTCAGAGGAGGAGGAATAAACAAGTCCACGCAAGCAACCCCTATAAGGGACCAAGAGAAGAGTCTGGACTTCAGCTGGGGTGGGGTTGGGGGCAGATTCCTTATTCACATCACACGGTAAAATAAACCTGGGGAAGGGAGCCCCAGTGATGGGAAACAACACTGAAACACCTACAAGGAATTTAGATTTTCCCTAGTCCATGAGGACGACGGGAAGGAGCTCCGATCTGCACAGATCTTATGCTCTGCAGAGACGGGACACATTCAGTGACACCGCATTAAAAGCCAGTTATTATACCATGAAAAAGCTAAGCTCAGGCCACAGACTTAGAGACGCTGCATGCAAATAGCCATCAAAGGAGAAGCTAATCATTTTTAAAAGGTAAACAATATACACTTTTAAAGATGGGCAAAGGCTACAAAAAGGCAAAATCCATAAAATGAGAAATTCAAGCTGTTAGTAAACAGGCAAGATGAACGCCCTTGTTAATCAGAGCCCTGCAAGTTAAAACCGCGTGAGGTGACCTCTGACACCCCAGGAGCCACGATGTCTGTTCCCCTCGAGGGTTTTGCAGATGTGGAAAAGCGGATGTCACAGGCCATCAAGGGACCTCTAAGCTGGACAAGCCTTTTGGAGAGCGAGTTGCCGATGTCCCATAAAACGAAACAGTTCTGTCTGATGCTCTGATGATTTTCCTTCTAGAAAACTCTCTATGTGTAAACAGACTATGTACAACTTCCTGGTAATTCCCAGTCCTGAAAAACTGGATGGGCCTCTGTGCCCAGAGCAGAGACATGCATAAACAAATGACCGATACCTATAATCACGAAGAGGTCCTGCAAACACACTGTGGTGCCAGGAATATGGAGCGTGGCACCTTTGGCCATTTGTGTTCAGCGCCAGGACAAGTGTCACACATCACTGAGGCACCAGGTGTCTAGGACAGCGAGGAGCTTTGACCACAGATAACCCCAGGTCAGGCAGCTGGCACTGCACCCTGATGTAAATGGGGAGTAACGGGGTTGTCCTGGCGCAGACCCCCACAGAGCCAAGGAAGGGGCTCCCATCCCACATGTCCCCGACTCACCTCAGACACGTGTCCCTGGGGCCAGGTCTCTCCCACAAGGGGCTCTTGGGGGGTCCTAGCTCTGGGGTTCCCGCGAGGTCCTGGTCGCTGCAGTCTTCCTGGTCTGTGGCCCACTTATCTTTGGATTTCAGGCTGTCGTGCTGGGAGTCCAGGGAGACAATGTCGGATGGGGAGCTGATCACCCCTGAGTCCTCTGTTGTGTCCTCTGACGCGAAGCAGCTGCCCACAGAGATGGTCTCCTCGGCCTCAGAGGTCACTGCCGGGCTGCTGTCCACACTGCTGTGGCTGCCAGGACTCAGGAGCAAACTCACTGCACAGGACACAGCAAGGACAGGTGAGCACAAGCCACGCCCGCCCGGCCACCTCCCAAAGCACATTCCGCCAGACTGGCTCCTCCGGAATGTGGGCGGCAGCGGGGCGCTCCATGTATGCATGCACGGAGGACCTGGTCCCTGGGGTCAGGGCTTCACCCAGGAAGTTGTTTGTGCCATGTGGCTGGAGGTAAAAATGGCCCTCATGGATGCAGAGTTTGATGGATTTGTCCTGCAACTATGTGTCCCTTGTAAGACAGGCAAACATGTTTGAATGTGTAATCTAACAGCATAATGAACGTGACTGTTTCTAGTCTGAAGGGGTCCCCTTGGTTTTGCTGAAATTGTTTTTAAAAAGTCCTTTTGTCAGCTGGATGTCATGGTATAGAGCTGTAATCCCTGCACTCGGGAAGGCTGAGGCAGGACGATCACAAGTTCTCTTGAGCTTACCCTGGGCAGCTTAACCACTCATTGAGATCCTGTTTCAAAATGAGAAGTTTGGGGTGTAGCTCAGTGGAAAGGTCCTGCCCAGGAATCTCCAAAAAAAGTTCTTTATAAAAATGGGGAAAAATTACTAGAGTTTCCAAAAATATAAAGAAATTTAGAAGCCATACTGGTGTGGGAATTCCTGGCACACTGCACAGGCACGAGGGATGTGCAGCGGCTTCTTAGCCCATCTGCCCCTTACTTTTCCACGCAAGGCCGAGATTCGAGTGTAAATAAGAACCAGCCTTGGGTGGGGGGACCAAGGTAAAATTCGGAAGCTGTCTGTCTCTGGCTGAGGTTCTCTGGCCCCTTGGGCACTAAGTGCGATCTGAGCAGTGAAAGCCAGGAGAGACCAGGGCCGCTGCTGACCCCGAGACAGATCGGGGCATGGGGGATGCCTGCACACCTCTCCTGAGAGACGCATTCCCTAAGGGGCAACTGTCTACCTTCCAGGGTGCAGGTTCCCTGCAGTCTCAGGGCTCATGCTAATGGCACCGAACCCCCATGACACCAGTGTCACTTGCTTCCCCCAGACAGCAGACAGACAGCATGGCACGAACAAAACCAACAGAAGCCCTCACGCTCTGACTTGCGCGAGAACCTGACAGCAACACGAGGACAAGCACTTGAGGGAACGCAGGCTTCACGAGACACGCGGAGGAGGTGGGGACCAGTGGGGGCTGCGACATGCTGGATGCAGTGAGCGTCCCGGGGCGGGCCTGGCCCAGAGTCACTGCCCGAGCTGCACGCTTTCTGTCCACGCTTTCTGTCCATGTTTTCTGCTGACTGCGTGAAAACGGTCACAAGGCTTCCAGGTCCCTGGGACTGGAGTTCAAATCCCAGCAGAGCTGTTTCCTGCCTGAGCCTGGACAGTGCAGGGACTGTGCTCTGCCCCAGGGCCTTGTCCAGAGGCTTCAGGAGGGATGGCCCTGAGCTCAGGCCTGAGATGAGGATTTCCAACTCAGGAACTTGGGCTGGCCAGTCCTGCACTCATGGGAAGGGGGTGGACATGTGTTCAGGGTTGGCCACGCCACTGAATGGCTTGTCTGGCAGGCAGGCCAGCCTGGGAGGACAGGCATGCAGGCAGTGACCCACAAATGCCTGTCCAGTATGCTCCTCATCCTGCCTCCCCAGGGCTGTCCCTGAAATGCACTGCCTTCCTGGAAGTTGGTACCCAGGGAGGTACGGGCTGCAGGCCCCAGGGAGCAGCCTCCCAGGTCCCTCCCCGGTCAAGGTTCCCTGAGGAATGGAGTGCAGTGAGGTAGAGGCAGGGTGGGAGGACCGGGTAGCCAGTCTACTTTCCCCATTCTCCCCCCCCCTCCCCCCGCTGTGCGGTCCTGGAGCTTGTTTGCGGGTTTGAGATCCCTGCGAAGTTCTGAGGTCAAAAATACCACAAAAAGACGGTGTAAATCAGCCAATTGTGAGCCCTTGAATCCACACAACTTGAGAGGCTGAGCCACCATGACCAAGAAACACAGCAAATGCTTAAAAGTTTTAAATACTACAGTAAAAGTCACATAGCCACGGAGCTCCCACCACAGACACCCCTCAGTGCCGACACCCTCACCCCATTGTTGCCTCTCCTGCACCAGCGCCGATGCAGTCCTCCTTCCTGAGGGTCTTAGCTACGCTGACCGGGTCCTCCTGGTCCTGAATGTCCCTGTCTCCCTCTCATGGCTGTTTTGACCTCATTGAGGAGCTGACAGGAGCTGCCTTGGGAGGTGGAGAGGATAATGGGGTGAGTTTGCCGGAAGGACAGGGAGGATTTTGAGGGGGGGTTCATGACAAGGTGGCTTTTACTGCAATGCATGTTTAGATTGTTATTTAAAACATTAGTGTCTATGTGCACTGTATAACAGTTACGTTCCTCGGGAGCTGGTGCATGTACACATGGACATTCTTTCTCCATCCCCTCCTCTAAATGTTCCTGTGCTGTTCAGTCACTCACACATCCTCAGGGCACAAATACAAGCACTTACAAATGTGTAACATGGGTGTAACAAGGTCGAGGCCCCCTCCTGCCTGCAGTTCCCAGCCCCCTGACATTCTTCCCATAGGCCCTCCTGGCTTGGTCTAGGGTCACCGGCCCACTAGAACCCTTGAGCCTACAAATGCAGGAGAACGTGGAGCTAATTCAGCCACCAGGTCGGGGGCTGTCTGGAAGGCCCAGTGCCCTGTGCCCGCAAGTACGTGCTACGCCGCTTCGCCATAGACCTGGAGTTCTGGGACTCTGTGATCCTGGGTCTTAGCCTGAAGTTGGGGCAGCAGCAGGGGGCACTGAGTTAGGAATCTAAATCCCACACTTCAGTCCCAGTTGTGCTCTCAACTTTGGGCAAGTGAAACAAGTACATTGATCCTGATAAATTTTAGAATCCCTCATAGATCTAGAATGTTCTTTGAAGTTTTGGGTCAAGATACAGGAAGTAAACATTGCTGTGCAGTTGACCAGTGACTAATTAGGAATTTCAGAAGGCACACAACAAGCTGGGTGTGGTGGCACACACCTGTAATCCAGTATTCTAAGAAGCCGAGGCAGGAGGATTGCCAAGCTTCCACTCAGCCTGAGCCATTTAGCAACTTGTTGAGACCTTATCTCAGAATTACAAGGAAATCTGAAAAGGCTGGCATGGTGTGTCAGTTCAACTAGTACTGCCAAGTAAGTAAACAAATACATGAATAATAATAAACAGAACACAATCCCTTCACCCTTCCTGACCCCTTCCATTTGCTTAAAGGGAGTCTGTTGTTATTTTTAGGTTAATTAATATGCTGACAAGTTTGCTTTTCTCTTAAGGCGCGAATGACCTTTTGTGAACTCAAAACTTAACACTGCAGGATTTTCAAAAATGTGAAAACATGTATTTATTTTGCGTTTAGCAGAAGCCTAATATACATTCAAGATGAAATTCTCTTCCAGATGAGTTGCTCCAGAGCCTATGAAAGGACTATGGACCCTTCATTTGTTCCCCCTTACAGAACCCCAAGTTCAAAAAGTGCCACTGTGTCTAAGTGGGGGCTCTGGAAAGTTCTCCAGATCCAGTGTGAGCTTTTCTCTTACATAGTCACCCAACAACATTTCAAGCATTGAATACAATGCCTGCTAGGGACACATGATCCCCAACTTATAAGGGCTTGGCTTGCTGTCTTGGTCACTTTCCTGTCACTGGGAGACAGGACCTGACACCCACAGCCTAAAGGAGGGTGCTGGTTTCGGCTCACGGTTTCAGTCCAAGGCAGAGACGAGATGGCCAAGGAACCTGGCTTTTAGCAGCCAGGAATCAGAAGGAGAGGTGGGAGGGGAGACTCACCCTGGGGGTCACACCCCAGCGACCACCCTACCTCCCGAAAGCACCCCTTTAATGGATTCATCACTGGTGAGCCCAGCGTGTGGCACTTCCAGAAAGTGCCAGCTCACAACACACGAGAGTTTAGAGCAGCGCTCCAGATGTAGCTCACAACACTTACAGCCCTGCAGACCCATCACAGTGCAGCGGTGGTAAACATACATCAGAAACCCCGTGTTTGGAATTCTGATCATGGCCGGGGCTGACACCAATTGCTGTCTGATTTTCTCCCTTGACCGAACACCAGCGGTGACCCGTAGCACCCAGCAGGCCATGAGGCCAGAGGGGCAGCTCTGTTCCCTGAGGATACGGGCGGCAGGGTGTACCAGGTCCCTTGTGCCTGTGATGTCCCCAGCTTAGCATGTGTCTGTTGCGAGGTGAACCTTCCTGCACAGAGGGGCCTCTGTATTCTCTCAATGGATTCGCTTTTATTGCTGTGTTACTAAACACAAATTGGAGGTCTTGTGTCCTATGACTTTGCTTTTTTGCTGCTCGTTATAGAAAGAGGTTTCCCAAGAGTCCACTCACACACTGATGCACATGGGCACACGGGACACTCACAACTGGCAGCAAGGCTTGTCCTTCCTCCCAACCCACGCTGGCCTCAGTCTGTGCTGCAGACCCAGCGAAGGCAAGGGACCCCAGCCTCTGCTAAGGCTCCAGATCCTTTTGAACAAGTTCCCTCTGATGTCTTTAATCAACATCTGGACATTTCCTCTGCAACAGACGTACAACACAAACCTTCATGTTCTTATAGCAGTGCTTCATCACTTTTGGAGGTGTAACCAAGGAGTTGGATACCAGTACCTTCACACCAGCACCCTCTCCGCAAAACTGTGGTCAAGTCTTCACTAAGATAGAATTTTCGACCATGTCCCTTCTTCCTGGAACTTATTTCCACCCCGCACCTGATAGAATCTCATCAGCTGAAGTACTTTACACCTGAGAGATCGTCTTTTAAAATCCAATCTCTATAAAATATGTATGTAAATTAAGTTTTAATGTCCCATTTCCTTTCACTGTAAGGTGGTAGTGTTAAGTTCTCTCTGTGTATTCAGTCACCACTGTGATGATTTACACAGACACATGCAGGTTTTTTGTGTGATTCTGGAGCTCAAACGGAGGGCCCTGCATGTGCTATACAAGTGGTCAATCTGTGCACTGCACCCAAGCAGTAGAAAAATGCTAGAAACAGTGACATCTACAAAACAGACACGGATCATGTTGTTACACATGCATTTTATAACGAGACACATCTTTTTAATGAATTCCTTAAAATGACGGAAATCCTTTTTGTTAGGATCAGGCAGGGCTTGACATAGCCCCACTTGCATCTGCCATTTGCAAAGCTGTAACCACCAGAGACTGTTCAGTAGGTGACTAGGGTTGAATGGAGGGAGTTTTAATCTAGCTACATCATCTTGTTCAATTTCTCAAACTCTTCCTCTGCTAGAGGCCAAACTTTTTTTAAACTTTAATGTCACAAGGACGATGCTTCATGATGTATTTATTACCTGACAGCTCAGGACCTTTGTCGATTTGGTTAAAAAGGAAAATTGGAAGAACACCTGGTGTTCAGAGGGATTTGTCGCCAAGCCTCTGGAGTTCGTCATCTGCCCCCCTTCATGTGATGTCTCTGCCTGTCCTGCTCGGCATTGGGAATGGATCTGTCCACTCCAACCATATCCTCAAGGCGCAAGACCAGTGCCCATCTCTGGGAGGGATCAGTGGGCATTTGTCAAACTTGGCACTGGGGACTGAGGCTTGGGCTGATGCTGGCGAGTTCTTGGGGACAGGAGTGCTGGAAGGGACCCATTTCTGGGGGATAGCCATGGAAGTGGACGCCCTTGGGCAGGCCCAGTGCCCTCCTAGTGGTGCCTGAGCACAGTACAGTTCCCTCATGTTAGAGCTGGGACGGTGGCAGTCGTGGAAGATGCCACAGGCATACAGAAGTGGGGCCATTGGAAGAGACAGGAAGCTGCCTATAGAACCACAAGACTCAGGCAGGTGGAGCAGGGAAGATGGGCCAGAGAGGGCCAAGTTCACATGCATGGAGCTGCAGGGAAGAGCAGGAGCTGGAGAGATGAGGGTCCCATGGCGTGTGGAAGGCCGTGTGTGTGTGTGTGTGTGTGTGTGTGTGTGTGTGTGTGTGTGTGTATCTTTGCAAATGCTCAGGTGCTAGTGCACAGAGACAGAGTTCAGGACCAGCCGTGGAGACACCCTCTGTCGCCAGAGCCCCTTGGGGTCTTCCTGGCTGGTAGCTTGCTAACCTCCTGTCCCCTAACTGAGCCCTTTGGCACGGTTTCTCAAATGGGAGTCCAGCTGGGTAATACTCTTCAGAATCAAACCCTTTAGCATGGTGGGCCCTAGTTAGCATTTTATATGAATGTGATTATCAATGCCCCCAAACATGGGCCCTCCAGAGACCAGTGGTGGAAGTAACGGCACAGCTAGCTGACCAGAGAACACCACCCTGTTAATATCGGTAGTTTTTCAACAAGGCAAGATGATGAAGACTTGGGAAGCTTGTACAGACCTAAAAATCTATTTTCGGAGTCGGGTATTGGATTCTTAGCACCAACCCACCCCTATTTCCCCACAGCCTGAAGTGTAAGTCCAGTTATAAGTGGCAGAGAGACACCCCACTGTAAGACCAGGCCATGTTCCTACTGCTATTCTTTTTTTTTCAATTTTTTTTTTTTATCAGTACTGGGGATTGAACTCACGACCACCTGCTTGCAAGGCAGGCACTTATGCCGCTGGGCTAAATCCCCAGCCCCTGCTATTCTTTTAAAAATATGGAGGGAATGGCTGCAGCTCTCAGCCATCCTCATTGTCCCCTCCCTCGTGTCTGGAGCAGGTAACCTGCTCCTCACTCACAGGGTGGTGTGCCCTGTCCTGAACACCCTGTCACAGAGGCTGGACCGAAGAGGAGGTGGACCTGGACCACTTGGGAGCCCATGGTAACAAGGACCCTCACCTTGTTGGGCTAGGATAGTGGATTAGGGGCCACATAAGCGGTGGGCATTTGAACTGAGGTGTGGAGGCAGTTTGCCAGGGACTGGATAGAAACTCAGCACTAACAAACTATTTCAGTTCAGGGAGAGCACCATGTCTGTAATTGGTGATGGGTGTCTGTAACCCCAGTGCTTTGAGAGGCTGAGGCGGGAGGATTGAAAGTTCAGGCTCAGCCTGGGTAACGTAGTGACTTAGCAAGACCATGTCTTAAATAAAAAATATAAAAGGGCCAAGTCTGTAGTTCAGGATGAAGGGCTTGAGTTCAATCCTAGGCACTAAAGAAAAAAAATGCTACTTGGGTTTCCAGTTATATGAACAACAACAATAAAAAGCACGCTTAGATGTGAAACCCTTTGATGTGTTTCTGTATCTCGGAACTAAGAATCCTAAATAATAAAGGCCTAAATCTCCCTGATTCTGCACAGTATTTATTTTACATTATGATCGTTCTCTCATAGAAACCTTTATTGTAAAGCCATAATAACCTGAGAACTGACATTCTAGGTCCTTCTTTTTTAGACTTTTTTATTTTCTCTGGACTGCACACTTGAGTGTAATCCAGTTTAGGGCACACGGAAGGGCGTGTCCCGAGGGTTCACTCTTGAAGCCCTCTCTCTTCTGAAGGTTGCCCCGTTGAACCCTTAGCCTTGACTCTGAGTAGAGCTAATTGCAAACTAGATTTAGATAAAACCTTTCTTTGAGAGTGTGCCCCCAAGGCCTCTGTTCTTGGGTTTTGGATACAGTGGAGAATCCAGGTGCTGTCTTCTGTCTTTGTAACCTATTTCTGGAAGGTGGCAAGATTTTCCTTCTCATCTGTGAAAATCGAAACACTTGCCAAAAGGTATCTAAATGTGTACTTAATGAATGACTCATTTCATTAGCAAGAAGGGAGTCAAAGATATTTTGATGTTCATTTGTATTTATTTTTCAGTAACGGCCTGCTCTTGTTTGATGTATGTGATAATCCATTAAAATTTGCCAACTGAAAGTATTGTGTTATAGCTCTGCTCTGTTTCCTAAATTCTAAGGAGCTCTGCTTCCTTTAGGATTAGTGTCTCCTCTTTGACGCACTGAACACTGGCCTGGGGCCCTGGGGTTTGAGTGGGGGTGGGAGGGGACACAGAAACATTGTTGCAGTATCACTTTGGGACAGGAAGCCCACTGACAGCCAGCAGCCCTCATGTGGCGTGAGGACCAGAACTGGACTAAGTGGATCTCCCTGAGGCAGGGACAGAAGGTCGCGTGGGATGAAGCCACAGTAGCCTTGGTGGACAGTGCTTGGACTCAATAACTTGGAGCTGTACTCCTTCTGTCCCCTTTATTCCTATTTTAAAAATTATAAAAGAAGCCCCACTGATCAATTATTTATGTGGAAGAAACATACTCTACTGTGTTCATAAAAGGGTAGGTCTGTTCAGAGTCACACATGTGTACACACACATGCACACATCTGCACACACCACTTGTCAGGGAAGACTCAAATTAAGGTTCTTCTACCCAGAAGACATGAACGGAACCTTATACAGAATACATGCATTTAAACATTTAAGCTTTCCTAAGCTAAAAGATTTTCTTCGTGTTCTATGGAGGAGCTCTTAATTCATTTATGGGTTCCAATATATTTGAAACTTTTTAAAGAAAAAAATGACATCAGATGTGGTGGTACACTCCTGTTATACCACTTGGGGGGCTGAGGCAGGAGGGTTAGAGTCCACCTTGGGCAACTTAGCAAGGCCCTGTCTTAAATAATAAAAAGCACTGAGGATGTATCTCAGGGTGAAGGCCTGGGTCCCATTCTGCTCGACCCTGTCTTACCCTGGGGCCTCTGCAGGGCACCGGACATCTCAGGCATGGGTGGCCGTCTCTGCGGATGTGGGAAGAGCTGGTGCTCCTAGCCTCAGACAGAAAGCTCTGTCTCTGGGAGTCTTGCACTGTGTCCCCAGCCTTTGGGTCACAGGGATGGCCCTGTGGGAGGTGACTGTCCCTGGGCAGTAGCAGTGGGGATGGTTTTGGGAGGACTCAAGTGCAGCACATTTAGTGTGAATTTTATTTCTACCACTGCACATTCCGTTTGCATAGAAGCCTATGAGCCTGACCTGGCCTGTGCAAGTCAAGGCAGGGTCCTTGCTCCCCTGGGAACCTGACACCCACTGTGGCCTGGGGTTGGGGACCCTGGTCTCATGTGTCAGACCCCGTGGATTTTATGTAAGCAGCACCTCAGAAAACTTGCTGTTCTGGGACCCACTGCGTGCCACGCTATTTACTCCCGAAGGTATTCAAGCATACCAGGGCGAGTCCCCCGCCCACGGGATGAGGAGTCTAGGGCAGGTGCTGCCAGAGTGGAACTAGGGGTGCACCCTGGTCTGTGCCTGTCTCCGCCCTCCCTCCTCCTCTCGTGGCTGCTGGGCATGGAAGCCACAATGCTGGGAACCTCAGGCTT